CCTGGCCAATGGAAATGAGCCTTTCAGGGCCTCCGCTCCTCCGCGAGACCCGTCTAACACGTAGTCCTTGAAATGTACGACAGTAGCTCGAAACTTTCCGAGCGCCGATGTATTAGCTATAATATAATTACTATTAACTGCATGTTTAGCGACCGGTGAACCTGTCGTTGGGCAGGCTGAGAGACCCCATCTGGCGAGTCTGCGCTTGTACTACTTCCTGTATACGCAACCGCAGCTGGCACTGCTTCTTTTCTGCTACCAGGCAGCAGGAATGTGATATGGTGAGATGGCACAGGGCAGGGAGCTGTAGCAACAACAACTATTGCAGCTGCCGCCGCCGCCGCTGCTGCTGGTGCTGCTGCTACCAACCAGTAACGCTGCTGCTATCAACTCAAGAGTCCCACGTATTTTTTCCTGCTTGCCTCAGAGCTGCAGGCTTCATGATCTCGCGATGTTTGGTGCCCAAGTGCGGGCGCTGCCCGGGGCTCTGTGTGCGGCGCAGCTGAATGTAGCCACAAGGATAACAAGCGTCATAATAGCCATGACAAGTTGACAAGGGGGATCCATCTAGTGATGGTACAGCAGCGAAGTTTTGCAAAAATGCAAACTTGCTTTAAGTTGCAAGAATGGCTTGTGCCACGATGGGTCAACTGACAAGCGTCCATTCGAACATGGCACAACAGCTTGTTTCTTTTGGGCATCTGCGCAATACTCTCAGCTGTCTTGCCTATCTAAACGGCTGTGTCCGGAAAAGGACGGAAAGTTTGGAAAGTGATTTGTGTAGTTGTGATGACACCTCCATCTGGAGGATGATCATTGGGGTAGTAGGGCAAAGTTGATTTAGACAACCCGGCGGCGGTGAAGGTTGGAGCAGGCTGCACCTGGTACTGCTGGTAGCATCTTGCCCGGTTCCTTTACTGTCACTATTGGTCAGCGCCTGGCAAACTCGAAGCGGTGAAATAGACTTCTTGCAGCTGTCGCTGGAGGGTGAACCTGTTGGATACCGAGGACCACTGTCAGCTATCTTTGAAACTCAGCTGACATGGTTGTACTGGTTGTGGCGACCCTCTTTTGTTTTGTATGCATGGTATCGATGAAGGGTGCCAAGCGCGCTCCCTTATTCTCACTAGGGTTGTGCTAGGCTGTAGAGTG